GATGGTCAAGTACTTTGTGTCATCAGGACAGGCTACTGGAGACAGTATTGGTTTTGGAAAAAGACTTAGGAGTCAAACTCCAAGACAATGATACATGGGTCAGCCAGCAGAGGTAGGTCACTGACAGCTCTCCAGCCCAGGGCTTCTCATCTGTACAGTGGGTGGGAAAATGTGGCCTTTTCCAAAGTCTCTTGATTCTTTATCTAAAAAAAAAGTCTCAAAATGCTAAGTATGAATCATGGATTTTTTTTTTTTGGCATATGTCAAAAATGTGTCATAGAAAATCCAAGAGCAACATAAACAGATGAGCTTTGTAATAGCTTAAAAAGTGCAAAACTGTGGGAAAAGCACAGTAATTTCTCATGCAGTCAGACTTTTTTATAGGGTTTCTAGAACTCAATAAAAATAAACTTCCTTTATTCCATCTCCACGGTTTAATTTTCTTTACCTCTTACCGAACATGAACTCTCATTTCCTTCTAAGCACAAGGATATAAAAGGTCCTCAATTTGGACAAAAAAGTAGACATTGGTGAGGTCAGTAGAGGCCCTATTCTGTATACTGCTTCATAGCACAAGGAGTCTCGGTCCATCAGATCAGACGAGGCATTAATGTTGGGGACAAGAAGCTTTTCATGAGCATATTAAAGTTCATAACTCCAACTGCCCAACCTTATGTTTGAGAGGAGCCATATCTTCAAAAGCACCTATACTTTTCATGAAGATATGAGAAAAGTACAGGCGAGACATTACCATGCTTAATAGAACATAACGTAGAGTCTGCAATGATTTTGTTATAAATGTTTTTCTTTTATACATGCAAGGGTGAACTAGTGAAACTTGAGTGCGAGACTTTTGACTCCACACTACTGCATTGTTCCCTCTCATCCTGGGTATGTTCAGTGTCCGTGCAGACTGAGGCCATCACATCTCCTGGGAACCCTTGGCTCGCCCAAAGGATGCTCCCTTCCCAGTCTTTCCTCAACATCTCCTTCTTCCAGCCAGACTCTTTCTTCATGACTGGCATCCCAGGGCTAGAAGCTGTCCATGGCTGGATCTCCATCCCCTTCTTCTCCATGTACACTGTGGCACTCACTGGAAACTGCCTCATCCTCCTGGCTGTGAGGAGAACCCACAGCCTACACCAGCCCATGTACTACTTCCTGTCCATGCTCGCCCTAAGTGATGTGGGCCTCAGCTTGTCCACGCTGCCCTCCACACTGGCTGTACTCTGGTTTGACTATCATTTCATTGGCTTCAATGCCTGTCTGACACAGATGTTCTTCCTGCATTTCTTCTCTGTGGTAGAGTCCTCAGTGCTCTTGGCCATGTCCTTTGATCGCTTTGTGGCTATCTCCAACCCACTGCGCTATGCATCTGTCCTCACTAACAATGTCATCATCAGAATTGGGGTGGCCATTACCTCCCGAGCTACTCTGTCCCTCTTACCATTGCCCTTCTTGTTGAAGCGACTGAACTACTGCCCTGGAAAGATCCTCCTGTCTCACTCATTCTGCTTCCATGCTGACGTCATGAAGCTGGCCTGTGCTGACATTACTGTCAATATCCTCTATGGACTCTATGTGGTTCTGTCCACGGTGGGTGTAGACTCCTTGCTTATTGTCATGTCCTATTCCTTGATTCTTCACACAGTGATGGGGCTAGCCTCTCCCAGGGAGCGTGTCAGGACCCTCAACACATGTGTTTCCCATATTTTGGCTGTCCTGGTCTTCTACGTTCCAGTCATAGGTGTGTCCATGATCCATCGTTTTGGTAGGCACCTGCCCCACATTGTTCATGCCCTTGTTGCATATGTGTACCTTGTGGTTCCTCCCGTGCTCAACCCCATCATCTACAGCGTCAAATCCAAGCCTATCAGAGAGGCCATGCTCAGAGTGATAAGTAGGAAAGTCCAAGGCTAATAAACTTTAAAAATGTCACAAACTGGATAAAATAAAAGACATGCCATAGCAAACACTGAAAATTTTTAGTTGTGCTGAGATTACAAGAAGACATTCTGCCTTATTCCTGTTACAAATGTGTGTTTTGTTTACTTTGTAAAGATGCAATGATGACGATTAAAGACTGATAAATCCATGAAACATTTTCTTCTGTATCCAGAATTTTACACTTAATACCAGGAAAAGGGCATATAATGCCATCATGTTATGGACCAAGAAGTGTCATAATAAATCTCCGTGCAGAAGATCACTAAGAAATGTAAATCAGGAGTTGACAGAACTACTGAGAAGGTTGGAAAGCTTACACAAAGAAGATAATTTTTTATTTTCAGAAAAAAAAATCAGTTTTTCTAGGTCATGCAGAAATTGAAAGAGATAAAGAAAAATAGAACCATATGGAAAATGTTGCACGTTTTACGTAAATACATTCATGGAAGAGACAACACTTTTTCACTCCTCCATGTTCTACCACTTGTTTATACACGTGTGATTGTGTGTGTGTGTGTGTGTGGATGGGTGTGTGTGTAATGTAGGTGACACTGTAAATGATATATAACATTTCCTTCAATGTTTGAAGGAAAAAATGGAGATGATAAAGCTAGTTTATACATGACTTAAGATAATATTCTAAGTTCCTTTACTTATACCTAATAAATAAAGATTATCTTTAAAAATATTTTGTTAAATATTTTATTTTGCAGTAATCACTAATATTAATTACAGATTGGAGCTGTGTTAAGTACATGTGCCAGACCAGAGTGACTTGGAATCTCTTCTGAAACCTAAAGTACTAACTCTTTCCCTACAAAAAATAATTAATTGGCCACTGTAATTGATGCATTCATCAAGCATTATATATGAATGACTCCAAAGGGACTGCAAATATAAATATAAAGCAAAAACAACGTGGGATTGATTCCAGCCCTTGAGAGGTACATTCGAGAGAATCAAAAGTCCAAGGTCATCTGTAGCTACACAGTGAGTTGAGGCTGTCCTCAACTACACCATCACAGTCTTTCTACACAGTGAGTTGAGGCTGTCCTGAACTACTTCATCACAGTCTTTCTCAAAAAAAATCACCAAAAGGAAAACACACACACAAAAACTTAGCATATGTCCAAACAGAAGTATGCATGCAAATTCATACTAAACTCTGGAAGAATAAACACCAACAGCTTTTAAATTCTTTTGAGTAACAGATTGAAGATTTTCATTATGTTTTAATTTCTTTTATATTTCAGAAAGTCTATGATTTTTGTTTACAGTGAACACATTGCAATTAAGAAAATCATGTTTCTCTGATATTTTTGTCTTTCTTTTAACTGCAATGTCAGAGCACTTCTAGACAATGAATGATTATCCACCTTCCTCCTCTCAGTTCAAAGTGATCAAATCTTGCACTGAGTACATTTCATGCTATTTCCTTTGGCCAGCCCTCACCTTGCCCTAGTCAGTTCTGTCATATACACAATCCTTATATGTCTGGAGTACAACAAAGAAGTTGGATATATAAGTGGGGTCTCTGTGCTGCTAGCCATGGCTAGGAAATTCTACCCTGCGCCCACTTTGCTGCCTGCATCTCATACTCACCAAGAATACCCTAGATCTATGGCTTGTAAGGATCTATGACTATGACTTTTCTGTAGTTAATGATCCCAATCCCTGATCAATCTACTCCTACTTGGCTCCTACAATGAGTGTCCAGCCCACTCCTGGAAATGCTGTGACTAGATACTAGGATTTCAGGTAGGCTCAAGGCTATCTCCAGGGTAAGGACAGTTGGCAGGAATGCAGCCCTTGTTTCCTCATTGCAGCTCGGCCTGAAGCCCTGGGTATCTGTGGTGTTTGGTTGTCTATGTGCCCCTCGTGTTGTACAGGCCCATGTTTTCCCTAGTCCTACTTCCTAGTTAGCCAGGTGACCTAGAGCCTCCTCTAACCTACGTGGTCTCATGCTCTTGCTCTTGACTCTGTGGCGACTAGTCCACTCTTTATACCACGAGCTGCTGGATATTCTCAACCGCTTTTCCTAAAGCATCCTTCAGACAACGGGGAATCGGCAGCTAACCACGCTGTTTCCATTGTGCAAGCACAGTGAAGATTAGGCTAGGCATGAAGCAATGTTTATTGGCATGAGTTCTATTGATAGGAAATTCCTCAAAACAGCACTAGGTAGGTAGGTGGAAATAAAGGACCAAATGCCTCCTCCAAAAATAGTGAAAGACTCTGAAAATTCCCAGTTCAACAGCCTGCCAGCTTGTCTAACAATTCTTCGACATAACGTAAGATTACACATGAAAGCTCTTTTTTTCTTCTTCCATTTTTGAGCTTCCATGATCAATTCACTGATGCCCATGAAATATCAGTTTCCCCATTGGTGCAATCAGGGTACACACAAAAAGCTGATAAACTTAAATACATAAAAGTGTCTTCATGACTGTGACAACTGTCATAACAAAGTGTGTCATCTCATAATGTAAGCAAATGTAATGTTTTTTCTGCCCTGGGACCTAGAAGAAAAACAATTATCTCTTTCAAGATTGTTTTGAATAAGGAATCCAGTTATAACGTCTTAGAAATACAAAGTCGTTGTGGGTTCTGATAAGGAAATTGGAGTTTTAATCCAGGTTGTATAATTTTATTCTAGTCTTTTGTTTATTTTCTTTCTGTCATGCCTTTGATGAACATTTTAGATGTGTTGATCCACCTCAGAACGCTGTGAGCATTTGTCACTGTGAGCATCATCAGTGAACTGAATTGAGATTTGCGAGTGGTGATAAAATTGGATGTAATAACCTTCAAAACACAGGACTTGATCTTAATAATCGTACCAAGAAAAACAAAAGGGAATATAGTATTACAAAATGTAGATTTCAGGTGTTACTTCATTCCACGAAGAAATTCCACAGCCAGTTTCGTCTTTGAAAGATCTGAGCTATGTTTGAATTAAGAAAGATTTGTTTTCTTAATACTGTCTTCCAAGATGCTGATATTACAGTATGAATTACAGAACTTTAGATGGAGTGAGGTTTCATCGTGGACTCTTAGTGATCTGAAGTGTGTGTGATCGTAAGAAAAAGACGCAGGATGCGCTGCCGGATCTCCTTTGTCTTTACTCCATAGACAATGGGGTTGAGCACAGGAGGAACCAGCAGATATGTGTTGGCCATAATGACAGGCAGCAGAGAGTCACGCCTCTTGCTGAAACGGTGCACCATTGACAATCCAATGAAAGGCACATAGAATATGAAGACAGCACACACGTGAGACACACACGTGCCAAAAGCTTTTGCCTGAGCCTCACGTGTCAAGCCCAACACAGTCTTAAGGATGAGCAAATATGAGAAGGAGATGAGAAGTGAGTCCAAGCCAATGGCGGAGATGATGACAATGAGTCCGTAAATGACATTGACACGGATGTCAGCACATGCCAGCTTCATCACATCTTGGTGTAGGCAGTAGGAATGAGAAAGGATATTGGAATCACAGAAAGGCAACCTTTTGATGAAGACAGGTAAGGGTGCCATCAGCGCAGCACCCCTGACCACAGCAGCCATACCAATCTTGGCAACTCGAGGCAATGTGAGCACAGTGGCATGGCGTAGAGGATGACAAATGGCCACATAGCGATCAAAGGCCATGGCCAACAGCACTGTGGACTCCATGCCAGACAGGGAATGGATGGCAAACATCTGTACCAGACAAGCATCAAACTGGATGGTAGTGGAATTGAACCAAAAAATGGCCATCATTTTTGGCATGGATGAGGTGGAAATAAGGATGTCCAGGCCAGAGAGCATACAAAGAAAGATATACATCGGTTCATGTAGGCTGTGCTCTGTCCTCACAATGTAGATGATTGTCAAGTTGCCTAGCACAGCGATAAGGTAGAGGGAGCACAATGGGAAAGCCAACCAAAACTGAGCCTCTTCTAGTCCTGGGAGGCCTATTAAGATGAAGTACGTGGCGCTGGAGTCACTGCTGTTGACGCCCACCATGCTGAAGGGACTGAGCTGGAGCCAGTATCATGCAGGTGGAAGCTGAAACACAAAGACACGTCATTGTCAGGTCCTCAGAAATCTCAGTCTCATCCACCCCTGATCTAGTGTCCTAGTCTATCACAAAACTTTAATTCCATTGTCCCTCCAAACCCTGAGCCTACCCTAACTCCTATCTAACTGTCCATCAAGCACCAGATGAGAATTCACTTAGTTCTACCCCCTAATCCTACCTATGTGTTTAGTGAAATAATAAGATGGCATTCTGACATTATTAGTCATATAGTTCTCTCAGACTAAAGGCACTCACATCCTCTGTGGTATCTTATACTCAGACTCCTTATGTTTAATATTGATCATTTCACCATCTAAGCCATTGTCCGCTCCTAGAAAATGAAACTGTGGATGGAGAAACAGCAAATGAAAACTTTTGAGTACTTACTATAGCTATGACCACAATCAGTCCATTCTAAGGTGATTTTCGTGTAAATGGCAATCGTAACATAAGCTGACAGTGAACTCTGACTTGATCACTAATGTAATCGTAATTTTAACACTTTACCCAGTACACAGAAGTCATTTCAATATTAATTTAAGAACATCTATTTTATTGTAATAAAACCTATTCCAATAAATAGCTTGAAATTAGCTTGCCCAGATAGCTAATTGAGAATTTACACTTGCCCTGCATAACATATCAAAAAGAGAGAGAGAGAGAGAGAGAGAGAGAGAGAGAAGTAGCTTTAGGGGATCCACTGCTGTCTCAGCTAGACCCCGTTTAAAATGCCGAGCACTTAGGAAGCTGCTAACAGGGGAGCCTTCCAGTCAGCACACCAGCGCTGTGATACAACTTCGGAATTTCTTAAGGACGTTGATGTCGGTCTAGAACTGAGACTGTGGCCTTGCTCAGCCTCCCTGAGCTGTCCCATACCGCACTGCTTCCTAGGGCTCCTCAAGGGAGCGCTCTTTTGGTGCAGACCTCTCCCTGTAGCCATACTTCCACTTCTAGTTAGTTTATTTCAATCACTGTGTTCAGCTGAAGGCCGAAAATATTAAATGGAAATTCAGAAAATAAGCAGGTCACACGCTTTAAATTGTATGTCACCCTGAGTAGGTTGATAAAATGTTGTAGCCTCTGGCCCTGCCCTACCTGGAAGATAAATCATCCTCCTCCTTAGTCTGGCCACATTGATAACCCCCTGACAGTCACCAGTAGCCTCTTCAGCTAGCAGACCTACTGTCAAAGCATTGCTGTTCAAGGAATTCTTATCTTATTTAATAATGCCCCCAAAGCACAATAATTTTTCAATGCCAACCTATGGTTGACTGTAGGTATAGATGTAGATTCCACAAATATTGAGGGCTGATTTGATATATGTGTATGTATAGGTGTGTCAGTACACGAATTCATAAACTTACATAGAAACATATATTTGGCCTATGAAAACTGGAATGGCAGCTTTTTCTTTTTGAGACAGGGTTTCTCTGTGTAGCCTTGGCTGTAGACCAGGCTGGCCTTGAACTCACACAGATCCACCTGCCTCTGCCTCCTCCAGTGCAGAGATGAGGACTTTTATAGGTTATCTGAAAGAAGTCTCATGTAAGGCGGAGCTAATTCCTGGGTTCCAGACCTATTTAGATCATTTTCAGGCTCAGGATGTACAGTAAGCTTTGTTCTACCACTGAGCTCTCGTGGAGAGGTGGCCCCTGCAGACAGAGATCGGTAGAAGAAGGCAAAGAGCATGTATTTCAGAAAGGAGGATAACAGAGTTCGATTCAGTCTGATAAAAAGAAAAAAGTTAAAGCAGAGAAGTTACCCTACAACTTTAGGCAAAGTTGCGAGGTCATCCTTACCTCTCACTCTCCTGAGCTGTGTTTGTAGTGACACAGCTTCCTGCTGCTTAAAACCACTCCTTCTCCTGTCTGGTGCTCCTCTTCTTCCTCTCTAATCACCTGTTCCTGTGATCCTGTCTCCATCTTCACCCTCCCCTGCTTGACTCTTAACAATACCCTTAAATGACAATGCTATACAGAATTTTATCTTTGGTGTTCTTTGTCTATACTCCCTTCCCAGACTATCTCAATCTTTTTAATAGCGAATCTATTTTTCTATCTATAAACTTTTGATCCCCAAATACATTGAGTGATGCCTGAGTTCTCTTTTGTAGACTACATGTATAATTCTGGAAGGGTCTACCTGGTTGCCTGCCAAGCATATAAATTCTTCTTTTGCAAAGGCTAAGATCTCACAGAATGGTTGTCAAAACACTGAGCTTCAGAATCAGTCCTATGTTCACCTCCCATTTGGGAGCAGTGTTAATCAACGTATCATATACCATTTCTAAGCTTCAATCTCCTCATCTCTCAAAATGATATTAATTCCCCTCCTGCCTAATGAGAGTACCGTGAGAATAAAATGAGATCATGAATGCAAAGTGTTTAAACCTCACATACCCTGATGAGGCTAACCACCATGCTCCAGTGTAAGCTTCCTTATCTGCACAACAGCAGAACTGGCCAGAGAAAATCAGGACATTGCCTGTAGCAAAATACCCCGTAAGCGCTGGAGGTGTGCTCAGCTGATAGAGTGCTCGCCTACCATGCTGGAAACCCTGCATTTCATCCCGTATGTATTCTTCACGTCCTCATTTATTTTCTCTCTCTCATGTTAATTTTCCTAAGCTTCTTTCCCTAGGGTATATTTAACCATTTCCTGCTCTGTATTCCCAAATAACTTTGTTTTGGGGTCTTCTATCATGAACGTATTCTCCTGATGATAAGAAACACCCCCTCCCATCAAAAATTTATTAATACCACCGACAATAGTCCATTTACTAATTAGAATCAAATTATTCTCACTCATAATGAAATGTGGTTTACTAATAGAAGAATCCCTCGATGAACCTCTCATGCAGATAACACAGGCAAGGGGTAGGTAGGACTGCCAGATGTCCGAACCTCAGAGAACAGAGAGGCAGGAAAGAGCTTACACACAGCCAGGACGGGATAGCCTTAAAGGAAGAACAGAAATCTTTAGGAACAACCAACACGCCCGTGGATCCAAAGGGTATGTGAGGAAATAAAAAATAAAAATAAAAATAACAAAAAATAAAGAAGTAAATAACAAAAACAAAGCACAAAGCAGCTGCGGTAAGTGCAGAGAGGATCTTCAAGATAATCTGTGCCTGGGGCAGCCGTCCCTAGGATTCTCCATCCAGAGGCCTTAACAGGAAGAGATTCCAGTACTCCAGCAAGCCAGGCAGCCATGCCACAAGGCAGTTCGCATAACAGACTCGGGAGAGATGGCAGAGTCCCAAGATTAAAATAAGCTGCATTAGGAAGCAAATTGGGAAAAAGTCATGAATCAACATGTGGAATTTTATGGCCTCTGCGGAGCAACTGATGATGTCAGTAGAACCATTTGGGGTAGAAACATGAGTCCTGGCCTCAGCTCTTAGGGCAGTAAATTATTAAATTGTTACTGTTATCTCAGATAATAACAACTTCATAGTGCTACTGTGAGCTTATGGGAAATCAGTTATGTCAAAGGTCATTATAGAATAATCAAACAGCATGTAACATTTAAAATGAGTGAAAATATATAAAATAAAATTTTCTTTTTTCTGGTTCACCTTCACCCCACATCTTTATGTGCCCGTTCTATGCACGTACGCATCCATGTGTGTATGAATGTACACAATTTCTCACAGCAGCAAGAATGGACACCAGGGGAGAGCTGAAATCAAAACAGGGAAGAGTCAGCTGGCCTGGAAGGGAGGTACCTTGGCAGCACAAAATGAGATCTGGACCTCAGATTCCATGAAGATGAGAAGGGAAGGGAAGGGAAAGGGCCCGAACAACCAGGTGGCACCCCTTAGCTGCACAGCTGGACAGTCCTACAGTTCGCCTACAGTTCACCAGAAGACAGCAGAGTCGGGACAGCTTCCAGGAGGCCGTGGGGCTGAGCACCGGCTCACACTTAGAGCTACTTGTTCTCACTCAACAGATGCTTGGGAGCTTCCCGGAAAGTTGGAACAAACTCGATTTTTTTTTCTCTTATTTATTTACTTTTTTTTTTTTTTTTAGAAAGCCCACACACTATCCTAATCCCGAAGGAGTAACTCTGTTCTTAATGTTTCCCTAAAATATCAAATTAGCTTAGTGAGTCCTGAGGATGTTTCTCTGGGAACTGTCCAGGCATCTTAGCTTTTTCACAGGAATTGGAGAGCAGCAGACCACCCCTATGACAGAGACTAAGTCCACTTTGGAGTCTCAGTCTTTCCCCTGGACTTTAAAGCATTCCCCCCAATACCAGTTCAGCCCTTCTCACCAGCCCCAGGCACATTCTACACCAGAACTGCTGTCATTCTTCTAGACCTGTGGAAAAGTTGATGGAAGAGAAAATCAGGCCTATGTGCCCTCTCTTCTGACCCAAGAACACTGAAGCAGTCTCCCAGCCCAGACTTGCTGTTTTGTGGTGTTAATAGAGCCTACTGAGCACCTACAAAATGCCAGGCCCTGTGTTTCACTAGCGTATAAATATCATCTCTCAGCTGAGAACAACTCCGCAGGAGAGATGGAGTTCTCTGCATCCCTCCTGCATGGCAGATAAGACAACTGGAACTCCAGGTGGTTTAAATGACATTTCTGGGGCTCAGCGATGGACTAGTACAGTAAAAACAGCCTAGCCTCTCTCCTAACCTCTTATCTCAGGCTACCTCTGATCACACTGCATCTTCTAGAAGCTGACAAAATCTGCCTGAGAGTAAGGCAAGAGGAGGGCTGCTAAGTGGGACTCGTGCCCAGGTATATCAGAAGAGAGAGCAGTGGCTAAGCCTCCTAGATGAGAGTGTGGCTCACTCTCCTCTTCCAGAGCCCGTTCCCCTGGCTGTGGCACGGTCATACCCCACAGTACAAAAGAAGGGTCCTGTTCTCTACCTCAGAGCCTTGTCGGGCAGTAGCGATACTATCTGAAAGGCAGCAGTGTAAAACTCAGAGCT